GTAAGGAAATCTCACTCCAGAGTATGATGCAACTAACACAACCACCAAGAGGAGGAGTAAGATAAAGAGGAGAGGAGAGGAGAATGAAGAGAAGGAAGAGGAGGAGGAGGAAGGTAAAAGGGAGGGGGTGGGAGAGAATGAAGAGAAGGAAGAGGAGAAGAAGGAGGAGGATAAAAATGAAGAGGAGGAAGACGATGCATAGTGTGGTGAGTCTGAAGAGCATCAGAACTCCCTGCCCAGAAGAACGACTGTCGCAAACGTAGAGTGTAAAGTTAAATAAATAATTTACAGCTGATAGAGCATATTGACTTACATGTGCGGAGATTAAACACACACACACACACACACACACACACACACACACACACACACACACACACACACACACACACACACACACACACACACACACACACACACACAAACGATGATAAAGAGTGACATTCAACACCAATTACGTCGTCAAGATATTTGAAGACTTTCGATTGTCTTGTATTGATCACCATGAAAACAGGTCCTTAGCAACGAGAGAGAGAGATACGTGTATGCAAAGATTGGCAAATATTACATAAGAGGATCAGACCAGACGACACCCGGAGTCTCACTTGACATAAATGGCCAGTACCTAAAGTTAGCAGTATCTTGGGGGTATGTAGATGGCTTCTCAAGGCAGCCGGCCACCTCCATAAAGCCTGAATCATCAGGGTGTAAGTGTCTGGCTCGACCAAGGATGATGGTCCGTCGATTACCTCTCTGTAAATGCCAGATGACGGTCTCCGAGATGTCCACGAGCGTGCCACCACCCCTGACTGTCTCTCTTTGGTTGTGTTACATTCACATATGTCTATAACGCACGCACGGGTCAGCCAACAGCTCCGGGCCGAGGCTTTATAAGCGCTAAATAACCCAACAGGAACATTCTCAAACTATATCCGCCTCCGGATGTTGGTTTATGCGTAATAACAATAATTGAAGCAGCCATAACCAGAAATTATACAAATGATAGAAGTACTAAATATACGCCAAGGGGTCATTAATAAGAACAGAAGTGAGATTGGCAAGGAGTGAACACACAAGTTATCTACGAGTTGTTGTTGATTTTTATAATGGTTAGAACGGGGCTGTTCTTATAGTGACCAGTACGTGGTCATATGGGATGGATAAGGTTGTGGTGTGTCGAACAGCAATTCAGGGACGTGGGTTCTCAGGTGGTAGTAAAAGTTGGCGGCGAGGATGGTGTAGTAGCGTCGTGTCAAACTGACATATGAGGTCATGGTGATCAGAGAGAGTTGAGAGGGTCAGTGTAGTGAAAGCCAATTGATATGTGGTGTAAGAGATGGAAACAATAATATTGCACGCCCTCTTATGTACTCCCTCTAATAGTCCTCGTTGTGCAGTGTTTAAGGAAGAAGTTCAGACAGGGGGAAGCGTTGGTAGGCTGAGGAAGTTTCAATGTTGTGTAAACATTAAAGAGCTCAGACGCAGGAACTCCGAGGGATTTGAGACGCCGGCGGATGTGGAGACGATAGTTAGAAGACTTTGTGTGTGTATGTCATTAAATGACCCAAGTCGCACATGTAATTAATCAGAAATAATTTTTAATCCAAATTGAGTTTTTTCAGCCCATTAATTTACACAGTAAATTAGAGGATGTTTGTCGTATCGTCAAAACTCTTGGTGAGACGCAAGTGGTATACGGCAAATTATATTCTAATAAAATACTGTATAGATCATTTAAGTTAAATTTATGGTTATTTATGTTTCGGTATTCACTCAAGTGTTATATTCGAAGCATTTCACACAGAATGAATCGAAGTTATCTGAAGGCAGAAAGAAAAAAATAACCGCAGGCGATAATGTAGGAACCACTTGCAACTTAAAAGTTATTATGGACAGTAATATACCCAACCATGTCCCCCCCAAAAAAGGGTATTTTACATATCTAGGGGTATTTTGTAGTAATGATACCCTTTTCGCCTAAAATACCCATATTATATCCCACAATTTTTACAGTATGGCAACAACAATATTATACATACTACTGTACGCGACTACATACTGTATACTGAACCATCATGTATCTGGACAATGTTGACATGACCGTCGGGATTTCCAGCTCAGATAGCCTCCATGCTGGTGAACGTAGTGGCCACCGGATGTGACGTCACGGCACTGAAACAAGACATCTTTCTCGTTCAATGGAACAGTCACTCCAAAAGGTTTCTTTACGGAGGGGTCCGATGAATTTCAAAATGAACACTGCAGCTCCTGTTGTCTCGGTAGAGCTGTCAAAATCCCTCGTAGGTTGTGTTATATTGTCTCACAAAATCCTAAAGATAACCTTTGGAGTGACTATACATTAATGTAAATATTCTTCGTCATACCAGTGATAAACTCTCCATTCAAAAGTTAATGTATGTCTTTAAAGATACGCAGAAAACAATTTGTTTTGGAATATCATTATATTGACTACAAATTTCACACATATGCATAAATTTCCTGATGAGGGTCAACTCCGTCAACAATGAACTAAGTGTGAACACCGGGCAAAAGATTGATTGGGGATATAGACATACTTGTTCTTGTACAGTTAACAGACATATTGTACTGGTTTTTGTGTTTGCGGATCTGATTTTAATTTTTTTTTTAAATACGACCATAAGCTTCAGTCGAGTCCACAAACAATAATATTGATAGCTGGCGTAGATCTCACCATACGGGAGTGTATCACTGTTTGTCGTGGTGTAATTTGCGCTTTATCCAAGTTTTTGTAAGCCATAATTAAGTTATAACTTTTAAAGTAATCTCTAATTGGATGCCTAAATTTTACCGCAATAAGGTATTTTTTATCGTATTTGTTAAAATGTTGGTGTAACCTAAAGTCAGAGTCACTATCAACATAAAGGAAATATGAGACCCACGTCAATTAATTTCATGTATTTCCAGAATATATTATAAGAGATGAAATATTTCATTTGTTATAAGCAGAAGCATAAAATAACAAATAAATAAATATGAATGAATAAATGTTCTCTGCGAAGTAAATGGATCTATTTAATTTAGTGTTTCATCGTGAATAACATTGTATAGAAATTGACCAATACACCTTCCCTCCATGGAACAGGTGTTAACTCTTTGAACATTTGTGATCGTCGTCATTTAGGTCGTATCCACTTCACTCATACTTAATCAACAAAGCTAGTCAGAAACTGCTTCAATAACGTCCACTTCAGATTGTGTATCTATTTCAGTTGTGTTACTCGTTACTTTGTTTACATCGAGAGCTACCCATCGTTCATCCAGTGTCGTCACAACATTGCCGCTTGGATCAGCTGAACCATTCAAGATATGGCACGAAATGACTTTCTTTGAATTGTTTATTCTGAAACTTATAGCTCCGAATTTTACTTTAATATTTCACAGAATAGACTAATGGCTTATCATTCTCTAGCGTCTTTACGGCAGAGCACTATTCGTATAAGGATGATTCACCAGGTCAGGTCAGTATTGGAAGTTACTCTAAAATTTGGCCTTTTTCGACATACATACATACATACATACATACATACATACATACATACATACATACATACATACATACATACATACATACATGGGTGTAACTATAGACAACAAACTTGACTGGAAGGCCCATGTAAATAACACAGTCAAGGCAGCCTCGTACCGCCTCTACATGCTACGAAGACTTAGGTCACTTGGGACACCCACGCCAGAGCTGAGGACCATCTACAACGCCTTTATTCTCCCCAAACTAACGTATGCGTCACCAGCCTGGTCGTCTTCTCTCAACTCCACCCAACAACGTCAGCTAGAGAAGGTACAGAAAAGGGCCTGCAGAATCATGCTCGGCGCAGAATACTCCGGCTACACCAACGCTCTCTCCACCCTGGAAATGCCATCCCTCAGTGATCTCCACCACCAAGCACTGGAAAGGTTTGGCAGTGGACTACTGCACCACCCTCGCCATCGCCACCTCCTGCAGCCCCCCACCCAACTCGCGCAGTCCGCCACTACAACAAAATACAGCCCATAAGAGCCCGCACCGATAGATATAAGAACAGCACCATCCCATCTATTGTTAAAATAATAAACAACTCCTGATTTATGTGCTGTACAGCCCTGTAAATGTATTCAATGCATATTATATCATTATGTCTAAATCAAATGTAAGTCTGTATATTTTCAGCCACCGGCTGCAACTCTATTAATAAACCGTTTATTATTATTATTATTATTATTATTATTATTATTATTATTATATACATACATACATACATACATACATACATATATACATACATACATACATACATACATACATACATACATACATACATACATACATACATACATACATACACCAGTAAGAAAGAGACACTCGGTTATATAATAAAACACAATCATGGTAAATAACGCACAAGACAACATAAACCACAGCTACTGGAACACAGCAGCCTGTGGGGCAGAGCAGCCTGTAGGGTAGAGCAGCCTGTGGGGCAGAGCAGCCTGTAGGGTAGAGCAGCCTGTGAAAGACAGCAGCCTGCCGGACAGAGCAACTTCTACAACACATAATATGCTATACTCGTAAGTCAGTGCTGCAATGTGACGCATTAAGTAAATTTCACAGTGCCGATGTGACTATCAGGATAAACCAGAAGGTCACAGGGAAGGCCGAGAGTACACCCCCAGGTCCAAAAGCTCCCGGGGGCTGGTCAAGAGAGCACCCCCGGGTCATGAGGCTCCCGGAGGCAGGTCAAGAGAGCACCCCGGGTCATGAGGCTCCCGGGGGCAGGTCAAGAGTGCACCCCCGGGTCCTGAAGCTCACGGGGGCAGGTCAAGAGAGCACCCCCGGGTCCTGAAGCTCACGGGGGCAGTCAAAGAGCACCCCCGGGTCCTGAGGGGGCAGGTCAAGAGTGCACCCAGGTCCTGAAGCTCACGGGGGCAGGTCAAGTGCACCCCGGGTCCTGAAGCTCACCAGGTCAAGAGAGCACCCCCGGGTCCTGAAGCTCACGGGGACAGGTCAAGATTGCACTCCCGGGTTCTGAAGCTCCCGGGGGCAGGTCAAGAGTGCACCCCCGGGTCCTGAAGCTCATGGGACCTCCAATACTGTGGCGCCTCACAAAATATAGTATTGGAATATACAGGGATAAAGTGGCTCGTTTGTCTGTCTCTTAAAACGGCCGGTGCTCCAGAGTCGTATATTACATGGAAATGAGAGAGAGAGAGAGAGAGAGAGAGAGAGAGAGAGAGAGAGAGAGAGCAGAAAATAAGGTGAAAGGAAATGTGGTACACGAAACGCGACAATTTGTTTTCTAATATTACCCAAAAAACGGAAGAAGTGAGGAAGGAGAAAGGGAGGGAATGAAGAGGGAAAGAGTGAAGAGGAAGGAAGGAGTTGAAGAGGAAGGAAGGGAATGAAGAGGGGATGGAATGAAGAGGGAGGGGGGAGGAGGAAGGGAGGGGGGGGGAGTAGGAACGGAGGGAGGGGATGAAGAGGAAAGAAGGAAGGGAATGAAGAGGAAGGGAGGGAAGAAGCTGTACCAGTATACAGCAGGGCCACCATCTCCCCTCCTTGCTTCACCTTCACACACAAATACAGATCAGTGCCAATGAAAGGTGCTGTCCTGTGGCTCTCCAGTACTAGATATGACCTGTCAGTAACCCTTGATAAATGTTAACAGGTTCAACTCATGGATTCAAAGTGAGAATGACTGTTTTATTTAACCCATTTAGGCAATATACACATATTTAAACACACAATGGTTCAACTCATGGATTCAAAGTGAGAATGACTGTTTTATTTAACCCATTTAGGCAATATACACATATTTAAACACACAATGACTCCAAAAAACAGTTCTGTACCGACTCAAGACACCTTATTATGCCCGGGTGGGGGGGAGAAGATAAGCAATTGAGGCTGCCAGGGAGGGGGGAGACGTCAGCAGTTGAGGCTGCTAGGGGGGACGTCAGCAGTTGAGGCTGCTAGGGGGGACGTCAGCAGTTGAGGCTGCTAGGGGGGAGACGTCAGCAGTTGAGGCTGCTAGGGGGGGACGTCAGCAGTTGAGGTGCTAGGGGTGACGTCAGCAGTTGAGGCTGCTAGGGGGTGACGTCAGCAGTTGAGGCTGCTAGTCAGCAGTTGAGGCTGCTAGGGGGAAGACGTCAGCAGTTGAGGCTGCTAGGGGGAGACGTCAGCAGTTGCGGCTGCTAGTGGGGGACGTCAGCAGTTGAGGCTGCTAGGGGGGGAGACGTCAGCAGTTGAGGCTGCCAGGAGAGGAAGAAACCATCATCAGTACACGAGACTTCTTCTTTTAAGGCAGACGAGGAGAAAGGAAGACTTTTTCCCCCAGGAGATAAATTTACGGCCAAGATCCACCCGAAATTATGCAAATGGTAACCGTTAATTAAACAATAAATACTCTCGACTGACAAGAGCATAACCTTCCATTCTGGGACTCTAGGAGGGGGCGGCCACGCACTCGCTCCTCCCCGGGTCATCATTATGCAAACAAACTGGCGGCCACAGAAAGAGAGACCAATTTGTACAGAATATTTATAATAATTGGCAGATTTACTAGAGAATCAGAAGGTAATGCAGGGTGGTGGTTTAGCAACGGTAGAGTGAAGGGTCGTTATGTCTCTGTCTAAGGTTTACACATCATAAAGAAACATAGCTTACCATGATGGTTTACGTTCTCTGCCCCCACAGTACCAAGAGTCCCCCACAGTACCAACAGCCTCCACAGTACCAACAGCCCCCACAGTACCACCAGCCCCCACAATACTAACAGCCCCATAGTACCAACAGCCCCCACAGTACCAACAGCCCCCACAGTACCAACAGTCCCCCACAGTACTAACAGCCCCATAGTACCAACAGCCCCCACAGTACCAACATGGTCCACCTATACAAAGGGAACACTCATCAATATTACCATCTTTGAAGACGGTAAATCGGTACATAATTAAGAGAATAGGTAAATATGTCGTAAAGTCCTCTAATACGGGTTATGGTGTAGATAAATACTTCTCCATACAACCATCAATAAATAACAATTATGCTATTGAGATGTGTAAATAACTCGCATGTAAACAAGTACATCTTGGGAGGAGATAAATAATATATTCTAAACCTCAAAAAACATAATAAAAAGGATATTGAATATTTTAATGGGTTTGTTGAGGGCCCCTGCTTCTAAGTTTCCGTCAACACATGTGTAAGTATGTCGATTGTACCCACTTATTCCCTTGTATTTCTAAGAGTCACAGAGTCACACCTAACCTATTATTCTCAACTCAAGTTCCTTAAAACAAAACTAAATTTAATAGCTACAGTACTACCAAACTTAACCTAAAATGTATCACTATTATACTGTTGGCATAACGAAAATAAAATCAGTCTTCAAGATGAGAGACCGCCGTATGCACTGCTTATCTGATCACCTCAGTTACTTGGGCGATTACGTAGTTTAACCTGACAGCAAAACTTGGTGTCTTTAATGTACACGAAGTTATAAATAGCAAAGGGGAAAATACATTAAATGAGTGACGTTGTCCTTTGTATTGTATAACTTTCAATTGCCACCAGGTAAACTAAAATTAATTAACCATTGAACTCAAATCTTAGCGAAGTTATTAGCTATAGTACTCAAACGATATCAGTCATATTACTTAAACATTAACAAAGATATCAAGTTAAAGTACTCAAAACACTAACAAAACTATCAGCCATAGTACTCAAAACACTAACATAACTATCACCCATAGTACTCAAGCACTTACAAAGATATCAGCCATAGTACTAAATGCACACTATTCCAAATGCCTGAAGGCATCACCACAACACAGCTGTTATCTTGCCTAGGAAATAAAGAACACTGGGGAAGGAATTAAGTGCGTAAACATTTTACCCCGATGACGCGACGAAGAGGCGGAGGAAAGGAAGAGGAGAGACCAAGGTCTTCAAGGGCAGACGAGCTGATAAATAACAACATATCGAGGAGCTTTACAATACTGTCAGGAGTAACTTGTTTAAATGTTTCTATTTTTCAGCTTCGTCCCTGTCCAGACTAAAGGGGTGTGACAGGGGCACAATCCTCACAAAAACTAATCCATTTATTCTCAATTCCTGTCGAGTCGAAATAAAATGAACCAAGTGTTGTGCAGGATTACATGTTGTTCACCCATGTTGACCTCCGTTTAGAATTTCCACGAAAGAAAAACGGCCACCAAATCGTCATTTTTAATCTGGTCCAAAAATGCGAGTAGCGTTAATCAGAATATTATCATGCTAAACACTTGTACCAAACAGAAGTAAAATCTGTTCTGTAGTTGACATACTGACGCTGTTTAAGACACACTACTGGCTGGGCGAACGATGGTCAGACCCACAGTAAATTCTCTTCAGACTTTTCTTAACAGTGAACACATTAAGGTTTGCACATTGCTCACCTGACTATTTACAAGACTAAGTTCACTGCAGTAGTTAGCGAGGTCTCCGTCCCTACTGGTTCTGCCACACTCATTTATATTTCCTCTTTACGTCGTACCACTCCCTGGCAAACTCCCACAATTACTGAACAGTATACAACTTAACTCACCTTCTAAAGCACTCTTGTTTTATATTCACCGTCTTCCATCACACGTTCGAAAGGTTAAACAGTCTGAATTAACCTTCACCCACGAGAGATTTACCTCCATAACACATTATCGTCTTCACATCTTCACACTTTATCCTCTTATTTACCAAAAGCGAACTGAAGTGCTGCCTTTCCTTACAGAGAGTTGGGAACGAGTAACAAGTTGGGACTACTTCATGTAAGCTTCGCCGCTGTTTCGGTGGTCAAAAGGTAATTGTTCTGAGGGTTCATAGGTCCGAAGATTCACTAAATCGAAGATTCATTAGTCAGACGCTTGGGTTTAGACTAAGACAGTATACCTAAGTCAGGAACGAGCGATGTATATCGGTCATATTTCTGCTTGACACGTTTTCCTAGTGTGACGTCATTCCCCGTATAGTCCAGAATTCAGATGGCGCTTGAGTCGTACAAATGTGGCGTCACGTTGTCGTGTGTAAAAGGGGCGGACTGTTAAGATTCAGCCAAGGCCGTTAATCCCATCCTTGTGTTATATTTAAGAAAAAAAAAGATAAGCATTCTAATTTATTTTTTCATAAGTTTCTTAAAGAGATAGATAAGTAATGAACTATTATTTAACGATAAGGATGCTGTACTGTAGGTTATACTAAAACTTTCTCACTGTCGAAGCACTAACCTAACCTAACCTTATTTACTTTTATACCCATGTGTTGCGATGAACTCCAAAGTACTGTACCTGTATTTACATGAGAATAAATTTACCGTCAAGGAAGTCAGTATTCATCACCTCTAACATACACAGGAAATTAACTCGGGTAATACGCCAGTAGCCTCTGTTTGTTGGTTTTAATATTTTTTGTTTGACATGTTTGTTTCATTATATTGTGTTGAATAGTTTTTCAACTTTTGTTTGTCGTAACAAAGAACGTATTTTGTTGAATGTAGGTTTATGACACCTGTTCCACTGTTTGTTTTAACCCATTGGAAATACTTTACTGTAATTGTGCATTATATTATTTTGCTAAGTGCTTTTGTTAACAAGTGTGCATCATTTGTCTATCATTTGTAAATGTTTGTGTTTATAATTGTTTACCTTATACTATGATAGCATACACCAAAGTTTTTGTTGCTGTTGAATTTCCTTTAAACTCTGTAAAATTGCTGCAATATTTGCTGTGTAATATATGTGTGTGTGTGTGTGTGTGTGTGTGTGTGTGTGTGTGTGTGTGTGTGTGTGTGTGTGTTTTATATTTGCATGTTTAAAGTTATTTATTTATAATATACGACTGAGCATGACATTAGTGTTTGTGTGTTTGTGTTCATCTCTATGAAGGTGTTTCTTACCCAAGGATGTTATGTAGACCAAGATACTGTATACATTTAATAGAACTGTGTGAGGGAAAAACTTAAAAAACAATTCCTAATCTACAGTAATACCTGATACTGATATTGGTTAAAGAGAACATTGTTCTAGTGCAACACAAAGAGTACAACAATATTCCAAACTTTTTCACTTGTAATAAACTGTAATTCTCAAATAACATATCAGGTTTAAACCCTCATTAATGTTCAAGGATATAATGATTGCGTTCTCATATATATATATATATATATATATATATATATATATATATATATATATATATATATATATATATATATATATATATATATATATATATATATATATATATATATATGCAAGTAAATCACTGTAGGTGCGCGTGATCCAGGTATATGCTGATAACCACAAGGAAAGAAGAAAACACGAAGTTCCCAAGCGCTTTCGTGTAATTCACACATATATATATATATATATATATATAACGATAAACATACTATATTTCTGTAGCGGTACATGTGGAAATGCAACATTGGTAGTTTCAGTGATGTAAGAGTACTGAGTTTATTAAAGACTATAGCTGTAATGAAAACAATTACCTCCACACATAAAAAAATATCAATTACCTCATATGTTTACCCATTACGTCATAAGTTAGTTTTGGACTACTCCAACTGTTGTCGGTGTTATCGTGGTATTTTAACGGGACCTTCCTCATCTCCGGTTTACTGTACAGTACAGTCCTTGGGTTTAGTTAATGAACCAATGATCCTTTGGAATTTAGAGGAGTAACCAAACCAGATTATTTGAAGTTATCCCAAAATTCCGTTATAATCCATTCCAATTATCAACACAATAAGACTGTTCATCGTCCCCATGGCTAAGACATAAGCTTCACTTATATGCCGTCGCATTTAACATCCTCTTATGTACTTCACCAAAATAATTTACCAAGGAGCATAACTTATCATCTAACTTAGCTCATAAAATATTTCAACCCCGTTTGTCAGGTGACGCCCATAGGGATGCAACTTACTTTCACACGTCTTATTCATCTCACAGAAATATTTCCAACATTACTATATATCATCTCTGTCATGACATGAAACCAAAATCGTTTCTGACTCTCCATATTCTCAAGGTCCACTGATGCACCATATATCTCAATCTTTTCCGAAAATATCTCTACACATATCCTAGTGCAAGACTAACTCACGCTATCACTCATTCCTCTAAATCCTCCGGTTTCTTCAGTAATAAAGGATTCTATTATCCCTTCACATAATCCATCAGTTCCCTACCATATACAGCATACCCTGACAACTCTGATAAAACCATTTATTCTCTCGTACATAATGCTTTCAATTTTGCGCCTGTATTCCTTTTACTGCAGAATAATTGTTACCTGCGTTTAACTCCGCTCCTCACTACCACTTTACTCTCTCTCTCTCTCTCTCTCTCTCTCTCTCTATCTCTCTCTCTCTCTCTCTCACACACACACACACATAGCAGCAAACACTAATACAAGCCCAAGTACTGTTCACACTCCATTTACATAACATTAAAGCATGTCCACCCCCGCCACACACACACAGTCACTCTCTCAGGTCACCAAGAGTCTAGACAAGAACATTTTCCTCGCTATCCACCGTCAAGAGTTTCATTCATGCAACAGGACGGAGGACAAAGTTTGTATTGAGTACCATTAAAAAAAGGTTAATGTTAGCTTCATGAAAAAGCTCTTAAAAAGTTAGGTACATATATTAATTGGAAGTTGAGATACTTGAGATTAATTCGGTACTGCAGTGAGGTCTCTGGGTTTATATGCGTTTGAAGACGATCCTGTAATGCTAATTATTGCCATAGTGTGTAATACCTTAAATATTATGACGAACTATTATTTCTCTCTTGATTCATAGTCGATGTAGTATGGCAGGTGTTGTGAACAGGATAGGTGTGGTGATGA